TCTAATGATTTCCAGGCCCAAGGAAATGTTTGTGCTACAGCAGTTATCAGAAAGGGGCGGGTCTTACATTTTTGGTGTAGGCTTAAACTTCTCATCTGTTGTAAGGTTCCCAGCATATGGCGTGCCTTCAGAACCTAAAGGCCCCACAGCTAACAAAACTTGATTTTAGGGTAAGAGGGAAAAGAGAGGGTTACAAATGACAAATTATGAGATAAATTAGCCTTAGTTATTTTTATTTAAATCTATTTGGAGTCATTACAAAGAGAACCTTATTTTTTGAGAGGAGTTAATGATAATCATTTGTTCTGGTGCTAGTTTCTTCTACTTCAGACACAGTAATTATTATAGGGTTAATGACCTTTACCAAACAGTTCTGCTTCTGAAGAATTAAGCATTAAATTCATGGAAAACTGCCACTGATTGAGTACCTACATTTTATAAAAATTGTCAATTCTGTAAAAACCTTGAAAAGATTTCTGCCAACAAACAGATGACAAAACTGAGGTTTAGAGAGGTTACTCACTGTTTTAGTAAGTGGCAGAATGAGGATGTGACCCGGGTATACCGTACCTGCCTTCTTCCCACCTCTCTCCACCACACCTTGCCTTTCAGGCGCCAGGCCTCTGCCCGTCCAATACAAAGTTCATGTGCGGGGTTAGGAAGAACAGTATGTGGTATAGGGTATTTTTTTAATTGAACGTTAAAAATTTAACAGAAAAAACTGATTTGGCATTCGACGTAGCATTACTGAATCATTACTTTTGCTAGGAGAGCATGAGCTGACTCGTTTCGATATGGGTTTTAGTTTACAAATAATTTATATTGAATGTATTTTTACAAACTTCTAAAAGATAGTTTTATTCTACGAAAGAATTTGCTGATGTTAAATTGTAGAGTTAATTTCTATGATAAACAAAAAGGCAGAAAAAATGAGACTTTTTAAGTATTAAAAGAAAGAAGAAGAAAGGTCTAGGGAGATGCAGACAGTCCCAGTTTCACCAGTCTGTGTCCTAACAATTCTATATCAGAAAATGGAGATGTAGCTAACATATAGGCATTTGAAGTCGTTAGCCACATGTGACCCCCCTATAGACACAGATATGTTGCAAAGTAATTAGGATGTCAGAATGTAAGTATGTCCAGTCTCTGTGCATTTTGTAGAGATTGCTTTGATGTCAGTTTTTCATGTCGATACCTATTTGATGAATGTATTTTTTCTGTATATATACCAAAGGTTTAAGAACCTTTGTTTTTTACCTTGTAGCCATTTATTTTTATTTAATTTTTTTTGAGACAGAGTCTCGCTTTGTGCCCAGGTTAGAGTGAGTGCTGTGGCATCAGCCTAGCTCACAGCAACCTCAAACAATCCTCCTGCCTCAGCCTCCTGAGTAGCTGGGACTACAGGCATGTGCCATCATGCCCGGCTGATTTTTTCTATATATATATATATTAGTTGTGTCCAATTAATTTCTTTCTATTTTTAGTAGAGACGAGGGTCTCGCTCTTGCTCAGGCTGGTTTCGAACTCGTGACCTTGAGTGATCCTCCTGCCTCAGCCTCCCAGAGTGCTAGGATTACAGGTGTGAGCCACCGCACCCGGCCTATTTTTAGAATCTTAACTGTGTCTGAAGTTTTCCAAATAATATAAGAAATAGTCC